GTTTCCATACTTTACATCAACCGAATTAAGTGAACCAGTTGACGCTTGGAATGTTTACATCGACCGGTTCCTGTGATGGGTCAATTTTTTTTCTTCCGGGTATATATTTTTTTTTCTTCCAGGTCATTTTTAAACCATACCCGTATTATATATCTTTTGTTTTTTCACTTTTCGTTCCTTATTTTCTCTCGGTCTCGCTCTCCTCTCTCCTCACGGTGATTTAGGGTTTCTCAATCCCCATTCCTTCCTGCATCATTCAAGGTAAGATCTTCCAAGTCATCTTCCTCATGATTCAACGTGTTTCATGATTCTTTATGTTCATATTTTATCGAGAATCTGTCATAATCATTGTTGGTAAATCTAAATTTAAAGTTCCAAGATTAATTCTCTTCAATATTTCGAATTATAAATTCTCAATACCTACTTAATTCTTGATGAATATGTTCATTAAAATTTTTTGTATTCTCTCTGCATCGATTCCTCTTGGTTCAAATTAGGGTTTAGTTGTTGCAATCCTTCCAATCATTATTGGTTCCATATATTCTATATTAACCTATTATCTTTGCCTTTCCAGACTCAAACCATAAACACCAATGAGTCCTAGGAGAAACCCACCCTATTCCACTTAAAACCGTGAAAAGAGAACCAAGGCCCTCCATGACATGAAGCCAGTGCTTTAGTTCCACCTCCTCCTCGTAATCTAATGATCTTCCAATCTCCCGAATACAAGGCAAGATTTGAAACCATTTTTCTTCAAAAGAAAGTCGCTTATGGAAAAACTCTCAAAAGCACTGATTGTATTAACAACAATCTAAATACCTATGATCTTTTTGAAGCTATAGGCTTGGCTGATTTCGTGTCAATGGAAATTCCATTTTATCCAAAGCTAGTTTGCCTTTTCTACACCCATCTCAAGAAAATTAATTCAACAAACACCCTTCAGTTATAAGTCCAGGGTGTTGAAATCTCCCTTCATAAAAGTGATCTAAGAATCCTCCTAAATCTTCCCGAGGGTGGTCTCCGCCACTATAAAACCCATTCTTGGTATGAGAGTGATGACTTTGATCCTCTTACTACTGTTCGTGATATTTGTCACGACAAAACTACGGAGGAAATTGATGTCATAAAATCCAGTGATCTTACTATTGAAGCCCGCCTTATCTATCGAGTCATTGTTCATTCCATCATTCCCAAGTCCGGTGATTATTCCGACGTTTCTTACATGGAAACTCTTTTGACTTGGTGTGTGCTTAAGGGTCGCAGAATTGATATGCCTCATTTAATATACCATCATATGATGGATTGCATTAATCACGAAAAATGCCATCTGTACTACGCAATGCCTCTCTCTAAGATCTTCCGGGCGAAAGGGATATCATTTGTTGGACAGCCTAAAATGAAGTTGCTATCTCAACATCGCTTTGACAAGTTGACACTTCTGCGAATGAGATTAAAAAGAGATGATGATGGGAATTGGTTTGATCCCAAAATTGTGGGTGGTGCACAAACCGAAAGTGAAACTGAAGACTCAGATGAGGAAGCACACGGGGGCAACCAGAGTGACAATGAAAACCCTCCAATCAATGACATCTGTCCAGCTAATACGGACTCTGAACTTTCTCTTGACACCTTGCAGGTTGCCTCATCCGCGGAACCATCTATTCACGAGCTATTTCTTTAACAATTGGCTGTTTCTCGTCAAACTCAAGAGGAAGTCATAATGCTACGGGAAGAGCTGAGGAGCATGAAGGATGATCTCTAAGAATTGTGCACCAATCTCGATCAGCCACCTCACTAGTTGTATGACCTTCCCTCTTTTTGATGTGACAAAAGGGGGAGAAAATGTGATCTAGGATCCCTGATTGAGAATCTAGCCTTTTTTTGCACTTGGGAAATTTGGTGGGAAATTTAGAATCTAGACTTTTTGCACTTGGGATACTTTAATGTGATCTGCACTTAGGAAATTTAGTGGGAAATATTATGTGATGGCCCAAGTTTTTCAACCCGGTGCGTCAGTGATGAACTGAAAGTTGATCCGATAACGGATCCAAAATGCGGAAGCAAAAGGTAAACCGAGGTCTTAAGAGATAAGAGTCACTCCTAAGATAAAAATGTGACCCTCCATGAGTTCACAAAGCTCAAAGAGAACAAAGGTCATCCAAGGGCAAAAAGGTCAATTCACAATTAAAATGAGAAACTTGACTCTAAACAATTCAAACAAGGTGAATACAACCTAATCTAATCATTTTGAAACATTCCAAGAGGTTCCATGAACATTGGCTAAGAATCCCACATAATACCCTATCCCGGTTAAAGTGAAAACTGACACTACTTCACTAAAACATGAATAACTCCCACTATGTTTGAAATCTGAGGATGGGATTGATATCATTGGAAATTTGACTCAAAATACTTGAGTTTAGGCTCAAGAATCACCCCATTTGGATTAGAAACAAAGAAGTTATGACCCTTTGAAATTTGAAGATCAGTGCTGAAACTCAACAGAAGCTAGGCTCGGGATCAAGCTATTTCGGTCGACCAAAAGGAAGTTTCAGACAGCCAAAATGAAGATGCTGAGAGCTGAAAACATGAAGAAAAGGTTCTTGGTGCTTCGGTAGATCAAAATAAAGGTTCGGTCGACCGAAATGACCCTTGAACAATGCATTTAGCTACTGGAATATGATTTTTCTGTGCATTGACAAACCCAAATGCCATTGGTCGACCGAAATGGGGTATCGGTCAACCGAAATACCTCGAAAACCTGCTGAAAAAGTTGCTATGAGTCCAAGGTGCTAAGGTTCAACCTCTACTTTGAATCCCTTCATGAATTGGTTCAAAATGAATATGCAAAACTGATTTTTTTTCATGAGTTTTGAGAATGTGAACATGCTAACATCTTTAATATGAATAAATAAATATAAGACAATGGCCCATAGCCTCATACACATCATTTACAAGATTTTCATATGTTAAACCTCAAACTTTGGTTTAAATACATTTTTGATGCAAAGGTTGATACCAAAAGTGTCTAAGTACAAAAGTATACATGTTTGGCCCTTGGCCTCTTTAAATACATGTTTATAATGTCAAAAGCAAATATTTGAGTGTCATTACATATCAAGAAAGCTACTAAAGGTCCAAAAGTACCATACACCCATGGCGTTCAAAATATGATATCAAAAGAAAGGCACGCTAAACACTTGCATGTCAATATACAAAAATGCTTTAGATAGCTCAAAAGCTTCTAGGGATGATGAACATCCAAGAACATGGGCTCTTTACCAGAAAAATAACCCAAACCACTAGGGTGAGTAATCAAGTTTCTCGTAGGAAGAAGCATATGCGTATACCCTAAAGTTTCAATATCTTTGCAAAATCAATATAGACGAATATAAGGGAGCATTCCACTTAACGTCTATATTCAAGGTATTCTAAGAGATCATCTTAAGCTAACTTGAATGATTCTTTAGTAATACGTATCAATATGGATGTATTTAACAACATCAAATCGCATATAACAAAATTTACAAGTTACAAATAACATTGATTGTCAACTTGGAAATGAATGCGAAATCAAAAAATGGAATCCTTGGACACCTAAGCTCGGAATTCTGCCAAGACCTCAACGGTTATTCCGAACATTAACTCGCAGGGAATACCACGCTAAGTGTGCACTATCTCAATTGGGGAGAACTCATACCTCCCGCACTAGAGCTAAACTCTAGCCATGTTACTAGTAACCATGTCCCAAGAGAATCCAAAATATATATCAAGTTCAAAACTTATATATATAAATAATAAGGCATATCAACTACCTTACAAGCACAAGAACTTTGAAACCACACAAACCATGTCTTAGGGTTCTAAGTCTAGAATGGCATGATAAATGACAAGTTCTTAACATGATATAATGCACAAAACAATATCATTAACTTATCAATTTAAGCATGCCTCAACAATAAGCCATCACTACAAGAAAAAATGACTTCTACGAGGGGCCAAAAACACCGTTGGAACCTATTCACGGTGCATTCTAGGCCCTCGTGTATGAGGATTCTGTAAATAATCAATTTTTTTTTACGAGAAAAAATCTATTTTGTAAAAAAATAATAGATTCGCCGTAGAAAATAATTTCGTTTATATATATTAAACTTATTTACGGCATGGATATTTTCCCTTTAATAATTAATTTACGAGGCACCCGTGCATGCCGTAGAAAAGTTTTCTATGGCAAATTGTAACTACCGTAAATAATCTTACGAGGTTTCTACGGTGAATCGTAACTGCCCGTAAATAATCTCACGAGGTTCCGACGCGTGTCGTAGAAAAGTTTTCTACAACGAATTGTAACTGCCTATAAATAATCTCACGAGGTTACGACGCGTGCCGTAGAAAAGTTTTTTACGGCTAGTTGTAACTACCCGTAAATAATCTCACGAGGCATTGAACCGTGCCGTAGAAAAGTTTTCTACGACAAATTTTAGGTACCCGTAAATAATATAAACCATCCTCACGACTTACCATGTATGCCGTAGAAAAGTTATTTAGGAGGATTTTGACTTATTTATGGGATTTCAAGCTCCTTGTAAAAAAAATATATATATTTTTTTATAAATAAAACACCCTTAATTAATACCATTTAATCATCCGCTACCTATAATTCACATAACTTTTAGCTATAATTCAATTCAGAAAACATACATATCCCATTAAATATATCAAAAGAGTTAAAACATTTTTACAATTCATCATTTATCAATATACCAAAACAATTCAACATTTATCAATGTTCCAAAATAGGAAGTAAATCCATTTGTCAAGAAAATCATCAATATCTTAACACTTCTGTTGAAAAATTAATAAACCTTCAAACACTTGAGTTTCAGTCTGCACTTGTCAAAAAACCACCTCACTGTACAAAATCCAAGGAAGTTGCTGCAAAATCCACAGTACGAAATCCAAAAAAGTAGCTGCATCACACAAGTCTCAAATTCAGAATATTAATACAAAAGGGAAATAACAAAATTATCATTTATGAATCAAACACAAACATTTTGCTAAGAATTTCTTCCTTAGATCTGCCAAAAATATTTCAAGCAGATAATTTTCCTTAATTAAATACTAGATTTTTGCAAGGATGTATGAGAACAGATAATATCATAATCTCTTTATAATCATGAACACTACAATATCATAATATGTAGTCTCTTTATCTCATGATTATAAGCAAATCTAAAACATTCTGAAACATTATAGGTTTTTGGTGCTACGATTATGAGCAAATATGAAACATTCTTGTTGGAGTTAATTGTTGTAGGACCCATTTTGGAGCAGCTTCATCATTTAATGGAATTTGAACTTTTAATTTTTGTTTGTAGCAGTGGCAACATAATGATTCCAGGGATTTCAAATTTGTTGAACCAGAAGTGGTGCCTTGTTGTCTGTCTATTTGTCTTCAAGAAATTGAAATTACTGGGCAGAGATGTGATCTAGAGCAGAAGTTGATACAGTATTTTATGGGAAATGCTTAAGTATTGCAAAAGATGATAATTAATCCTTGTAATTCCGGATGAATTGCAAGAGGGGGAGTTTTTTTTAATATGAACTGCTGGTGTGGTTCAGAGGGTTTCAGTAACATTAGACCCGGGCACGTATCTAATTCTGTATCAAATTGGCAAGAACTCTTCCTCTATAATTTAGAATTTCCCTTTTCTTTTGTCATTAGTCTTATGTATGTAGTTGTCGCATGTACTTTAGCATTTAGTTGCAATGATCAATACAATGTCTCTTACAACAGTAATTTTGTAGGTTTACTTCAATTCTAATTCTAAACCATTCTAAGAAATACATATTAGGTGTGCGTTTTAGGCATCAAATTGGAAGAGCTCTTATTATAGGCATCATCCATGAGAGTACATTTGTTGAATATGTAAGGTATGTTTATATATTTACATTATATATTGTGGGGTGAATTGCTTTGTAAAGAAGGTAGGTGGAATGAGTTGTATAGACCACAAGTAATTGTTACATAATCGTTTAATTCATTCATCGTTAAGTACTGGATTGAGTTATCAAGTAAGACCGAAATTTTATTGTTGTTGCTTCACTTCCACAATATATAATTCACTATCCAACCACAAGATGACATATGGACGTTATACAATAAAGAATTAAGCTAGGTTATGTTGTTGTTGTGGGGACAAACATGCATGGTGGAAATGATAGTTGTTGTAGTATTTGATAGACAAAACGGCTAATTAATTGACAAGGTAGCTGGGGTTGCTTTCAACTTTAGATTGTTTATTACGTGTGGATGGGGCGCAAATGGTAAGTATATTGCACAACTTATTGTCCTTAATCATTCAACTTTAAATGAGCTTTGCTTTGTAACCATAATTAAAGCTAACTACATCTGGCCCACGAATCTGAAAGCTACTGGGGAACTAAGATATTCGACCTTAATACATGCATTGTCTTTTTTTTTTCTTTTTTCTTTTTTTTTTTCACTTGCATATAAATATACTGTGTATATGTGTGCACCTTTATGGCGAGTTTATCATAAACTTATTTGGCCATACTATGTCTCACAGTATATATATATACTTTTATGAGTGCGGACGTGGCAGGACTATCAAAACCAAATTTGCTGCTAAGTTTGTCTTGGGTGAACTAACTAGAGAGGAAATCAAATATTCTTGAGTTATACAGGCAACTAGAAGCATATGAAGTATGTACGTATTGTAATATGTTTATCCGAGACATATTTCTATTTTACAGAGAGTGTAGTCCATGCAGGTCCTTAATGACATGCAAGAAGTCAAGTTAATTTGCTTTGAAACAGACAGTTAGGGCCCTATAATCTCTCTTTTGATAGCTTGTCCCAATGAACTTTCAAAATATAATAGGCATATACAGTATTATATTCATGTCTAAATTCATTATTTTAATACATGTGACTTGATGTATCCCTAGAATTCTTAGATGACCCCAGAGTAGTATGCTTATCTTCACAGGCTGAAAGAAGGGGGAGACTTGGGTTGCCTCCAGAAGGTCCTGCAGCTTTAAAATCTACCACACCTATAATGCAGGAAGAAAAGGTTTGGATATTTGATATCATATTTATTTATTCAAAGATTACAGCAGTCCGATAGAACTTGAATTGTTATAAGTGTTCTCCCATTTTGCAGAACTCGGTGCCAGTTTGGTCTGCTACGTTGCCTTCTATTGCTACAAAAGCAGAGCTCATGAGAGACTGTTTAAGATCTCTCAAGCACAACCACATGGTAAATGATTCTGTTTTGTGTCATGTCATGGTAGCTTGTAGTAGGATAATCATGAGTCTGAAAATATAAACGAATATAGACTGCTTGTTGTTGCTACAGTGACATAATAGCATAAACTGATATAGAATGATAAAGAGGTAGTCGTAAGTTTTCTGAATATTGAACCTTTTTCTCATTGCAGTATATAATGCTTGTACTTCTCAGGGAGAGGTTACTTTTGTTGTAACTGTACAACCTTCTTATAACTTTTGTTATGAACATTTTACCTTCATTGCTCATCTGGCATGCTTGTTAGAAATTAAATGGGTGTTCATTTCTATGAATAAATTTAAGTTTATGCATATACAGAAAATCCTATTTTAGAGGGTGTTAGGATAAAATCACTCAGAATAGGACAATGATCATTAACAGAAAGGTGCTTTTGATTCAAAGTAAACGTGCAACATCCTTTATTATTTTGCAACTTTGTTTTATATACGTATTACTTTCTATGAGCCCCCTCCCTCTTTTTTTGTTGGATCTAGGATGATGATGTGAAAGCGAAGAGGGCATTCCAAACTCTTTTGATATATGTCAGAAATGTTGCAAATAATCCTAAAGAGGAAAAATTTTGGAAGATCCGACTATATAATCCAGCCTTCAAGGTAAGTCTCTAATTTTATAGATTTTGTTGATATAAATGATGCAGAAATAATCTGCCCTCTGAAAGGTTCAAATATCCAGTAGGTGGGAAATCTAAGGTTGGTACTAGACGCGAATTTTCTCCAACTTTTTTTCTGACCATTTGGCCAACTCTTAGTTGACAATGTATTTTGGAGTTCCAAAATATAGCAAAAGAAAAAGAAGATAGAGGGATGGATGGATGGATGGATCTATAATATGCCCCCGACATTGTGCCTCAATTCAATGGTGAATCCAATATTCCTTCAACGGAAAGAACAGGGAGGGTCACTAAAATTCTAAAATAATGCATAGATATAGACATATATATGCATGTGTACTGCATACAATTACCATTATCAATAAAAAGTAGTTTCCTTTCTTGGAAAAAATATCGCAAAATGTTTCTATTTGTTTAATTTTTTTAAATGCTAAAACCCTGAAAAATATTTTTACATCCAAAAGACCCAATAATTGATTTATTTTATCCTAAAAGCTCAATCGTTGAGTTACTGTTAGCATGCACATAAAAAATTTGACAAAAATGTCCCTTCGTCTACATTTTCAACACATAAGATGCACCGTTTAAATGACCCTTTCCTCTTGTGCTGCCTCTGGATACCAATAAAATCTTTAATTTCTAGAAAATCTAATGGGTTTTTCTATTATATGTGTAGATATAACTACACACACGTAAAGATAAACTACCCCACCTGACTAATCCCTTCATTATCTTGTTTTAATCAGTAACAGCTCTGAGTCAAACCTACATAGCGTTACCATGCACCAATCGTTGACCCATACATATAAAGGAATAAGTATATAACTGCTAACCATCATCCCTAGCTTTTTCCTCAAACCATCATAATTGATGTAGAGTTTGTAAACAGTTTGCTCTCTTAGATTGATAAATTTGAGGATCCATTTAAGCTAATCTAGCTCCTGGCTTGTTCATTATTCATGATGGACAATCAATTGCTTCTGGGACTTTTGGGCAAGTGATTGTTTAATATTTACTGTTGCACCAAGCAGTGACTCTTTACTAAGTTTACGAAGTTCTGCCAAATTAATGGAATTTTCTGTTTCATAACAAACTAACGGATTAATTTGTGTTCTAAATAACAGGAAAGAGTTGGGAAATTGAAAGAAGGCATTGAGTTTCTTGAGCATTGTGGGTTCGAGAGAGATGAAGGAGGTGAATTTTTATTTTTTCCTAGGGACAAGGCTGACATGATGATCTGTGAATTGCCAAGGTGATTACAAATAATCTACCAAAACAAGTGAATTAACAACATATCAACAACTTCTCCTCCACAACAATCAATCAAAACCTCCACATACGATGATTCCATACTCCCATGCCTTCAACATTTTAAAATAAGAAATAAAAATGGCCTCCACACCAGCCGATGTACCAATGAGGTAATAAAGTTCAAGATACACTGCAAAATTGGTCACTTAAACGCACGTGACCCCCCTAAGTATGAGTCTAAAAAGCATTAAAATTGTGCAATCATAAAAGAAGCATAGTATTTGACCTTTGTTGTAGACTGAAATCATAGAAATTCTGATTCTTCAGCTCCTTATGAACTGGTGATAATCAATCCTGTCAGAAAAAAAATATTTCAAAAATGTACTTTTATAAGTACACTCCACCACATATAATACTTTGGATCAACTCTATAAAATTAAAGCTTTAACATTTAATTAAACATAATTTTTGTGTAGACAATATTAACTTTTATAAGTACACTCCACTACATACAATAACCTGTAAGTCATGTGCATCCATTCTTTATCCATCACTATTTGCTTAATTATTTTTTCTAGCAACCTATCACAAAAGATAAAAAAAATTTGTCAAAATTCTAGGAAGAAGAATATATAACTATATTCATGATAATGTGAATAAAGGAAGAAAAGGGTCTTTTCAAAGAGTAAGTTGGTAATGAAATAACTCCTCTCAGATTGTAGAACAAAAAATTGATATATAGTATAAATCTTATTAGCACTTAACTTTATTAGGTAGTCTATATATGCATTTTGTATTGAAAAGGCAGAAAGGGGTCTTTGCTATGTTTGATCATTCCTGGTAAAAGATATCAAAAATCTGGAGTTCAACAACAATCCCCTATTATACGTTATTAAAGCTTCTCAAATTGCAAGGTAGATTTTTTGAATGTGTCATATTCTCTTGGTGTTCGTTGCAAGACATGCTGCAAATGTCTAGTCTTTGAACATTGGCTTGCTAAAGATCATCTTCTTGGTTTAAATGGGAGGGGCTGTTATGTTTTTCTTCAGCATTTCTATGTGGTTTCGCCTTTCATTTATTATTTTAGCCTATCTTGTCTTTTAACATATTAATAGGCCATGTCTTATTGACGACCAATAATACATCAAGCTTGCATTCAAGCTAGGAAATACTCTAGTTCATATAATTCTATGAAAGAAAATTTTAAATCCTTTTCATGGTCATTGGCCAACTGTGCGCAAAGATAATTAAAAGACAAGGGCTATAATGATAGAGGAAAAGGAGGAACCAAAAGCAAATCCGGGAAGATAACTTAATTTCTTATAGCAACAATGATATATATCTCTTGGATGATCCATTCAGCGCTGTTGATGCACACACCGCAACCAGTTTATTTAATGTAACTACAATCCTCATCTCACCAATTTATACTACAGCCACATTTGTTTTTAAGTTGAAAGCTAATTAATACATGTTATGGTCAGGAATATGTCATGGGAGCTCTGGCAGGAAAGACAGTATTACTCGTGACTAACCAAGTTCACTTCCTTTCTACATTTGATTTTATTTTGGTAAGTAATTTAATCATTACCACTCTCCATTATCCTTCTGCAACAGTAATTCTTTTATATTCAAAAGTATAGCAAACTTCCATTTCCTTTATACGTGTTTCCAATAATTTGATACCTAAACCCGTGTCCAGAATCAGTTCTTCTAAGCAAGAATTTGAAAAGAAAATAATATCATTATGTTGAAAGTTGATATCTGAAGGGAAAATCCTGGAAGCGGCTACCTATTATCAGTTGTTGGCTTCTAGTCAAGAATTTCAGAACCTTGTGAATGCTCACATTCACACTGCAAGTTCCAAGAGAAACACTCAATACAGTACTTCTCAAAGGCCTAAAACATTCAAAAGAAGAGATCCAGAAAGTTTACACTCAGGAACAGTTGGACGCAATAGTAGGAGATCAGTTAATTAAGCAAGAGGAAAGAGAAAAAGGAGATACCGGTCTGAAGCCTTACAATATCTGAGACACAACAAGGGATTCTTGTACCTCTCCCTGGCAGTTATAGCCCACATTATATATATTGTTGGGCAGTTTGCTCAAAATCTTTGTTTGGCTGCTGCGGTATAGAATCCTAGTACAAGCAAATTGAAGCTAGAAAGTTTCAATCGCTATTTGTTTTCGGCTTCCTTACATCGGGAACTAAGCAAAGGAGTGCGTTGCAATTAAACTTTCCTTTTCTTATATTTTCCTGTTGTTTTAGATGATATTGTATGCGCTTTGATACGCCCAAATATGTCAATATCCAAGATTTCTAGAAAAACCAATTTTTTGCCTTACTTCAACAGAACTCTACATCATGTTCTTTACAAATCAAGGTAATGCACAATCATAAATGTCAATATAGAAATTTCCATTTCAATATGCTTTCAATAATATGTGTGTCTCTATTTAGTACCCATGTGTATATGTATGTGTATGTTATAATTTAAGAGCTTTTTTTGTGTGTATGATATGAGTCTCTATTTACTATCCATGTGTATATATGTACATGTGTATATATGTATGTGTATGTTATAATTTAAGAGCCTTTTTTTGTCTCCTGAATTGGTACATGTAGATGAAACTATTGTTCTTGATGTAGGTACTTAACTGAAGCTCTATGGATGAATTGTAATTCTCTTGGAATTAATAGTATTAGATATGGGATTACAAGACGTGAATTTAGTACGGGGTAGCTTGATAAGCCTGGTCGATATTCATCTTTAAGAACTTGGTGTTTAAGGAGGTCATATTCTTTGCTTGATTTTCAGCACCAATATGCTACTCATGCAGCTACTGAAAAGAAATCACAGAAGATGCTTTTGTACCTAACAGGATTGGTATTCACAATGGTGGGGTGCACTTATACAGCGGTTCCTCTATATAGGAGGTTCTGCCAAGCTACTGGGTATGGGGGTACTGTTCAACGCCGTGAGGTGAGGCAATCTCTATAAGTTTTGTCATTTTGGTAGTTAATTTCTTTTCCCAACCTTTTTCTGAGCAATAAAACCAAAGCATATTGTTTTTAAAGTGTTGAAGAAAAGATATCTCGGCATGCTCAAGATGGAACAATCACCACCAGGTATGTTTTTAAAATTTTACTTCTTAAATAAGTCAGCTTTATATTGTTTCCATTATTCAAAGCATGAATTCTCCAGCATTGATTCGAATTAAATCTCTAGACTAAAACTATTTATTTCGGTTTGTTTATGATTATTTTAATGAAAACTTTTGCACTTATGAATCACTGATTTTCAAGGTAGCATATCTATATTCTTTGGAATGATTCTCTTACAGTAGGTGGAACAAAAGTGCTTTTGATGTTCCAATGAGTGAAAGAGCTTAGTAATTCTATTTAGGAGGGAAAGTGGAAATAAGCGGAGGGATTCAAGGGAAGAAAAATACAAGTTGGGATTAGAACAATAATCCCTCATTTGGGAGTTCTTTATGGAAAGAAAACAAGAGAAATGGGAGGAAATGAACACCTCTGGCCTATCAATTTTTGTTTTCCCCCATCTCCAAAGATTGGTAGAAATGGAGGGAAAGTAAACTGAATTAGTAATTACCCATTTTATTCCTTGTTCTAGAAGAAGTGAGTTCCTATTTTATCCTTTATTTTAACAAAAGAAAATGTTCTTTTTCTTTCTTTTATTTTCTCTTCTTATAAATTCTTAATCAAGGAAATAGATCATCATCTATTCTTCCTTCTTTTTCTCTCATGAAATTACCAAATAAAGGGAGGGTTATCACCTTCTCATCCCTTCTTAGCTCACGTACAATCGGGAGCTTTTAGAAGTGAATTGAAACAAATAAGACATGAGTACTCTTTGGAAGTCAGTCTCGAGCAGTTGCTCAAAATCTGATATATCAACCATATCACTCCATCATAATCGTACAGTAAAGCTCAAAATTAAGCTCATTTTAAACCAGCAAATCGGAGTGAGGTGACTAGTTTCAGGAGTATGCATTGGTTCCTTATATCCTAGATTATAATTAGTTTGGTTATCCTTCATTTTTAGAAACATCTAACAAGACCTTGATTAAGGTAATGTATTTTGTTGATTCTTCTTGTAGATGTCTTGTTTTGATGTATTCTTGGTATTATTTATACAGGGATATTGTGGTGCAGTTCAATGCTGACGTGGCAGATGGAATGCCTTGGAAGTTTATTCCCACACAACGAGAGGTCCTCTTTCTTCTGTTACACGTCTTATTTTAACATATACATATATGTATGTGAGTCTACGCACGCACATATATGTACAGAAAGCTGTAAATGAATGTAGTCATGGTGAATCACAGGATTCTAAAGCTCACCTTGAAAAATTAATGAGCTCAAACTCATAGATAGTCTCAAGGTAGTTTTGACGGAGACAAACTTGGTTCAAGTTCGAGCAGATTGGCTTTTCATTTAGTTTATAGAGTGCTTTTAGCTTACTGAACGTAGCTCAAGTTCATCTCAATAAATTGATTAGCCTTTGGCTGGTTATCTCATGAGTGAATCTAGTTGAGAAGATTATGAGCCAAGCTTGAGTAGTTTGGTTCATCTTACAACCCTTTTAATTTCTGAATATATATTTATTCATTTATTTATTTATACAAATCCCTCAAGTGCTCTATGTTGTAATAGGCATTGTATTTTAAAACCATTGATTCTATTGTAGGTAAAGGTGAAGCCGGGAGAAAGTGCCCTTGCATATTATGATTTCCTTTGATTCATAACTTCAGAACAGAACTAATGTGGGCTATAACTTCCTTTCTACATTTGATTCTATTTTGGTAAGTAATTTAATCATTACCACTCTCCATTATCCTTCTGCAATAAAAATAAACAAATGCTCACATGCTGAATCATTTCAAAAATGGAACACAACAACAACTTAAGTTCAAAGAGCTAATCAAGGGACCAGGAGCATTAAAAAAAAAAAAAAACTATTGCAATGATATATAAATAAAAATGACAAGAACTTCCACCACCCACTTACAATTTACTATTTGTTTTAATTAGTAAATGCTACTTCAAATTACAATTGATCTTGTTTTTGGTTTTAATATTTTGGTTACGTGTTGGATTAATAAAAAAAATAATAAATAAATAAATAAATTACAAAAATGTTGTACCTGGCACTTAATGAAGGGGTTGGTTCTCCCTTCTTGTAGCAAAAGCTAGTTCAGGCCAATAAATACAGCAACACCCACCAAGGCTACTTTTTTCCTTCCTCGGAGACTGTAAAGAAAACAAAAACCAATCGGATTTCATAAGTTTGCTTCGGAGAGAGAAATTGAGCAAAAAAAGGCAACACTCCTGTTGGATACCAGAATCGGATCTAACTAATATGATTTATTTTCAAAGTGGGAAAGCTCATATGAAAACAAAAACTCGAATAACATTCTGATTCCTGTAGAACGATGGAAAGGATGAAAGTGACAGAGAGGCAACTGTAACAAGGTACGTACCGTCGTCCATGGTGGCTCTCCTCAACTTCAATTTTTGGTCGCTAGTTGAAAACCCTAACCTCTTCACTGGTCGGTAACGGAATGATCGACACCGTCGGGAGCCCAATCTGAGAAAGACGACTTTAGGAAATCAAGCTTTCTTTCTCAAATTACTGGCATCAACACGGTTAAAATCGATAGATGAAAGATTCGGGTCTCTCTCTTTCCACACTCTGAATCCCTAAGTTCTTCTTTTTTTTCTTTTTTTTTTTTTCTGGTATATATAGCTGTTCGATATAACAAAAAAACAAAAAATAAACAAATAAAAATAAAAAATAATCCAGGAAGTGAAAGTTTTCGGTGGGGAGTGAAAAAGTTTTGGCGGGAAGTTTATTGCTTATTTACGGCGCGAAAAAAATGCCTTAAATGTGAAATTTATTCACGGGCTCTTTAATCCATGGTAAAAAAACTTAAGTTCACTTTTTCATTTTCCTATATATATTTTTTAACTGATTTTATTAATAGTTGCTTATTTAAATTTTTGCGAGGAAGTCAAAAAAAAAATTATTGCTTATTTACGGGGCAAAAAAGATGCCTTAAATGTGAAATTTATTCACGAACTCTTTAATCCACCGTAAAAGAACTTACGTTCATTTTATATCTATATGTTAAGTGATTTTATTAATAGTTGCTTATTTACGGGGCAAAAAAAATGCCTTAAATGTGAAATTGATCCACGGGGAACTTTTATCCCGTTAAAGATATACAAATAGGCCGTAAATATATCTATAATATTCACGAGCTCTTTAATACGCCGTAAAAATATTTTTCTACGAGGATTCCACTAAATCCTTGTGAAAGCATGTCCTATAATGTAACAATTACGAGAATTCTTTCATAAATTCCGTAAATGGTAGTAATCACGAGGCAAAATAAAGAAACCTCGTAAATACTATGTCGTAGAAACCCACATTTCTTGTAGTGCATATATACTAAATGTTAGCATTTTAGCAAAAATAACTTCTATAACAATCATGATTATCAATAGTAATCTACTAAAATGTAGGATTAATATCACAATAGTATAGTAACTTAAATCATTAAGAATTCTATACAACTTTAACAATCCTACTCAAGATATACATACATACTTGATCAATGAAATCCTAAGTCAATCATAAGAATTTCCTATAGTATACAATACTACAATTCTAAAAACATGTATACAATATATATTAAACCCCAAAGGACTTAAAACACTCAAAATATAAACATACTACCACCCCTACCTCAATAGAGAATTGAATCTCTATAATCCAAGCAACCAAGCTCTAAATGAAAAACAAGTTTAGGATTATTGAAGAGGAGAGTGAAATGAATCTTTTCTCTCCCAAGGTTTTTACTCTAAAGTGAATGGAAGTGAGCCAAATTGAAGGGATAAGCTATGAACTAAGCTTTCCTCCAATGGTGGATTGGCTAGGGTTCATAAGAGACAATAAAATAAAGAAGGTAAAGTGCAAAATGGTGAGTGGAAGGGCTAGAAATCCTCCACTCACTATATGTTCTTGCACTACCTCTCTCACACACACAATGCAAGACTAAATCTTGATCCTACACTTGTCACTAATCCAATGCCTCTTCCAAGACTAAATTCCAAGCCCACATTTGTCATAAATCAAATGTTACATGTGCACCAATCCTAGGCCAACACATGGGTGACTCTCGACCTTCTAATTGTCAAGAAGTCATGGTGCCAAGTCTCCTCACCCAAATGCCAACAAATGACTCCATGAGAGTGTGACACTTGTCACACTTTTCAAAAATTATAAAATGGTCATTTTTCAAAATATCTTCTAAAATAAATTGCAAAAAGGTCCTCAAAAAGAAAAATAATTATTTTACATAATTACACTAAAACTCCAAAAGTTATGAATAATTACACTAAAGTATGCATTCATACTCTTTACAAGAAAAGTAAGCAACTAGCATACTTTTCTACAAAAGTAAGAATACCAATGTCATGGAAATCAAATATCGTGAATGCATGCAAAACCGGAATCAAATCCGAGCACAACAAGTGAGGTTATGAAAGGAAAAACGAAAAACGGGAAAAAAGACGAAAAAATAAAATCGTGGAAATTGAAGAGGAGGAAAAAGACCAGGTCATTACATTTTGACTTGACAAAACTATGTCTTTTTTATGTGACTTTTTGCTAAGTGGTAATCTATGCTGTGACCTTTATGATAGTGTGTTATGACATTTGCAAAATGGATTGATGATAATCTATGCGATTGATCTCAGTTAAGTCATAAATATTTGGTTTAGATGATTGCTTGAAATTTTGCATGCCAGTTACAATTAGTCATTTATGATATTCATGAAAAGCATTATATTAAAATTGACTATCCTCCTACTTCACTAGTCTCAATGCTATATAAAATTTCTTGAAGCATGTAAACAGGGGGAGATAACATCTCCAAAATTGAAATTAAAATTTCTTTCACGAATACTTAAAATTTCATTTCTTCAAAGCATGTCAATTTAAATATTCAATGGGCAAAATGATACGGGGAGTATCCTTATACAACCCTATATTTTTTTTTAAGATCACATAATTGATTTGTCATCATCAAAAAGGGGGAGATTGTTGATCAAATACCCTAATCCATTGGTTTTGATGATAATAAATCAACAATGATGTGTTTTTACTAATGGTTCAACTGAGTTTAAATGCAAGGAAATAGATGTCTTGTTATAAAAAGGATGGAAGGGACTTCAAGTCATCATATGGTCACCTAAAGCATCAAGAGGCTGCAAATGTTCTTCAATGTGTTCATTTCACTATAAATGTTCTTATAAAATGTTCCAAATGAAATTCAAAGGGTCAAAATGTGTTCTTGACCATCTACAAAAGAAAAGGGCTTAAAATTCAAAGTTCAAACAGCACACGTCGACCGGTTTGATACACATGTCGACCGGTATCTAGGCAGTGACAAAAATTCAAGTTGAAGCTCACACACGTCGACCGGTTTGACACACATGTCGACCGGTATCTAGGCAGTAGCAAATGTTCAAATGGAGCTCAGTATATGTCGACTGGTTCAAAGCATACATCAATCGATTCATGAAGCATACGTCGACCGGTTTGCAGCATACGTCGACGGGTTTATAGCATACGTCGACTGGTTTATTCCACACGTCGACTGGTTTGGTCGCAGGTCTGCAAATTCAAATTTGTAACGGCTATATCTTCATTTAATGCTCCCAACTACTTCAACAGCTCTATTGAACTCGAAATATCTACAAATACAAAAGGTTGGTGTACAAATAAAGGTACTTACAAGAGAGAACATTCAAGATCATCATTTAAGAGCATTCAAAGAGCCTGAAATTCAGATCTGAGCATTTACTTCTCATTTTTCTCTCTCATATCAGTTCAAAGACTAGAGCTTCATTTACTTCATCCACTTACTCTAGTGTGAGAGTTATTCTTGTAATATTCAAGAGAAAAAGAGAGAGAAACAATCTTGTAATCCTCATTTATATATTCTCTACTATATTATAAGGGTTGGTGTAACCCAAAAAGCATAGCTTAGGAGAAATGTGTTCTCCAAGCAAATAAGAGAAGCAAAGTCTTGCTTCAATTAATGGTTTACTCTCCACCATTGAGGAGGAGCTTTAGTGATTTTGGAAAGTCTTAAGGGAGGACCTTGAGCCGAGGAGTAGGAGCTTCCGAACCTCGCTAAATTGCCGAGTCACTATTTGCAATTCTCTATCTCTATCCTCTTTAATTGTGCTTATATTGCTTGAATATTTTTATTGTGTATTGCATTCTATTTAGTTGGAAACAATTTTTTAAAATTATAAACATTGGCCATTGACTCTATTCACCCCCCTCTAGAGTCAATTAGTGACTAATAGACCTATTTAAATTCTGGTACTAAGAACCACGCTAGTTTGAGTTTGTGTAGTTTACAAATATGGTTTGAGGGTTGATAATACAATTTAGTGTTGTGTTTGGTGTATTATCTTTTTAAGCATGTTTATAAAGTTTATATACACTTGACAGAGCCAAAATCCATTAGTTTACAGTGGTGAAATACCATAATTACCCTCACAACAATGCTGCTGCAGAAATTGACTTGTGAAGCCTACATTGAACTGTAAATTGCTATTTACTAGATACAAACTGAGGTGTAATGATTGGACCATGTTTTATATGTTAAATGAAAGTTATGAGAATTGAAATCAAGGAGGTCCACTCATGGATTTACATAATTACCCCTCAAAACCAAAATATTACAGTTATAGAAAACAAGCCTGCTACATGCTGTTATTTTCCTGATGTATGAGCTGCTGTGTTAAGCCCTAGTTGATATAACTTATCTCAGTAATAGAACAAGTGTTATTCATCTATTTTATGCTGAGGGAGCCCTCAGTTGAAGAGTTTTTGAATTATCACAAGGCAGTGTTTGGCAATTGCTGAAAATCAGGTTTTAACCCTAATATTGCTGCTGTGAGCATATACAATGTTATACCTTTCCTTTTAATTTGCTGTTATCATATGAGCAAGTGTATATTGTCTATGCATCATCATGCTAAATAAAAATTAATTAATAATCTATCATGAAGCATGTTGAACAAAGACAATATTATATTTGTGCATTATATTGAATTGAGCTCCCAAGAGGAACCTTAACCATGTGTACTAACCCACAAGGACCCTAAAAGTATTGGGTACCAAAGAATTCCATTTGAGCACATTTTGTAGATTCAAAATCCATTTCACTCAAGAACAAGTGGATACACAAATATGGATGGCAAAAACACTTGAAAAGAAATCAAGTTATGAATTCCTCTCAACATCAAAAGGATGAAGGGTGCACTATATTGAGAAACCATGCCAAACCTAATGCAATTAATTACTTCGGTAAATATCCCATTCCTTATCACAAATGTGCTTTTATTTGATGGGCTAAAATGTGACTTAATTGTGTTATGTGATAAAGACTATAGTATTTTTATATTTAGTCATGGCATAATTAATATGGTTAGTGATGTTGACATGAATGCTACTTATTGTTAACAATGTCTATCCTATAGTAGCTTGTCTTGGATTATGTGACTTAAACATGCTAGCATACATCTATTGTTAATCAAGACTAAAATTGTGAAAGATACTTGGAATTGCATGCCATCAAAGAAAGTCACCCAAAGAGGATAAAAGCTACTTAATTTGAATTTGTTTTAAAGTAGTTATATCTAGAAAGTCATTTATGTGCTTAGAAAGTCATTTGTGATTTTTAATGCTTCATTTACATTCTTTTGGCATCACTAGCACTTAATATGAAATTATTTGAACTAGAAAATAATTGAATCAAATCTAGAAAGTCAAGTTCTATTTCAATGAGGATATTAACTGGTTTGGCATTCCTGCAC